GCTGTATGAGTTTCAACTTCAAATTCACTTTCGGTATCATGGTTCCGACTGAACTTGAGGGTCGTCTAGGGGACGCCTCTCTTCTGGGGTCGGTACAGACTTGGATGCCATCTCTGAAGTACTCTCCCCACAGACGGCGCCAAATGTTTTGGGGTTTTCTGATGTTCCTGCGGGAGAGCTACAGTTCCGAGACTGGAACCGGACGCCTGTACCTGCAAAATAACGGAGACTCCTGAGAGCTCCGCCTCCAACGGTCAAGTTAGTACCTGATTAAGGAGTAATTAATACAGAAATTAAAGTAATAAGGTCTCTCTAGGTGAGAGTATTTAATGTAGGTAATCTGCCTTGCTAGCGAGATCAGCCGGTTATTAGTGTGTTCCGTAATGTTTCTCCTCCGTTCCGTTAATTATTCGGTCCCCCGATTAATGAGGATTAATCGAGTATTTATAGCCTTGGGAAGCGTGCAACTCTCTAGGTTTAAGGTAAACCTAGGGCCGATCGGGCTTCTAGACTGAAATGGGCCTTGATGGCCGGTTGTCCCATTTGGCATGGGTGGACACGTGGCGTGTCTTAAGTGGTCCGTGGAGGACGCGTGGCGGAACCTGGTTGGTCCACTTGTCAAACGGCGCTTGGTGGATAAAAATCCCCTAATCAATCTCCGCCGTCTTAACCACCTTCTCCTCATCGAAGCCGCCATTTTCAGCTTCACTTTATGCAAAAACTCCATTATCAAAGTTTCAAATCGAAAGTTGAAGAAAACGAAATTTGAATTTAATCTATGGTGATCAACAATGGTGATGAAGGAGTTCAATCTATGGTGATCAACATTGGTGATGAATGATTTTAATCAAACAAAATGATGAACAAATTCAAGAGAGAGAAAAATAGAGGAGAGAGAAATCAGAAATTAGAAAAGTGTGAGAGGGGGAAAAGAGAAGAGAGAGAATATATTTTTACTTGATGTTTCACTTAGTTAAAAATTTGCGATTGATCAAATATTTAAACTAAATGTTCAAATTATTGACGTGGTGCACTTAGAAATAGGGGCAAAGGCTACACATACAACCCTTGTATGTGGGACCTACATACAATTTGACATGGCTTTTTTTTTATTGGCTATTAAATTAGGTCCCAAATTCCATTTAATTTGAAATTTCATTTGAATTTGAAGTGAAATTTCTGATAATCTTAATTTTAAAATTCAAAATCTTTGTCAATTTCTATGTTCACATTTAATTTCTGAATTTATTGATTTTTTTTTATTGTTCATTAGCATTAGTGTCCCATGGAACAGCAAAGTAGCAAACAACGCTCCATCCAAATGGAAATGCAAATTTCGGGTGACTTTGACACCTATACGCTAGTGCCGAAGGTTTAGAAACTACCTACTGCAATGTTATTCAGGAAGCAGGAAAGTAAGGACATGCTTAGTGCTAGTGATATGATTCTTGATGTTTTATTTAGCTTTTGGTTATTATGTAAATCCATTCCCCTAAGCCCAAGCTTTCTGCCCATTTGTTTTTCAATTTGGGTAAGGAAAGTCTTGTTGAAGTAAGACAACTATTTTAATAATATAGTTCCCCCTTTTAACAAAAAAAATAATGTACTCTTTTATAAGTTATACTAGGTTGAAATCTCATGCAATGCACAGTTGTTAAATATTTTTGACAATAATATTACAAAATATAAAGTATATAAAAGATATTCAGAAATATTTTATTTAGGTATATATGGAATATGATTGTCAAACTGGAAAAAAATATCATAAGGTATAAATAATTTTACAAGGTAATGACAAGTGTCATGGAAGAATTTGCTTTTAGTATAGGTTAATTAATAGATAGATTTCCTGTAAAAAAAAAAAAGGTTATATTTATCAATTTTTATACAAGTAGTAAATTAATCCAAGGTTCATAAGCATTGCACCTGGCACAATCTTTGGCTTGCATATGGCATAAACCTTAATTAATTAATCTTCATAATGTTTCTTTTATGTTTAAATACTAATTTAAATCCCTCCCGTATTTTTGTTCTCCATTAAAATTCAAGTTGAATTTGAATTTTTATTTTTCAGAGGGTTAAAAGATAAAAATATAAATCATTAAATGTAGGAGATTTAATTGCTTACATTATTATTTTAATTATTAGATTAAGGAGATTCAAGGGACATAAAAATGTCAATAATGGAAGAAATATAATTTCAGACATAAAAACGTCGAAAATGAAGAAAATCCTCCCAAAATAACGCACGCAATAATTTGGTAAATTAATTGGTAACAAAACCGTAATTATATGATCAATTACCTACAATGCAGTGAAGAGTAATGTATTTTGTTTGCAAAATGTTTACATGCATGGTGAATATCTCGCAATGTTGGTTACTAACACACTGCTCATAAATTGTTACACATTCAATTTGGTACCGGGTTTAAATCTTATCCTTAATCACAACGTTTTTTTTAGTATAATATTCTGATCACATAATTATATGGTAACAAAGAATGAAGATATAGTATCCGAAACTATATATTCTATGGATATATGACACTTTTTTAGTAACAAATTTTCTTAAAATGAAAAGTAACAACTTAATATTAAAGAAATAAGTCGTAAACACATGGATATTTAGCAATAAGTGATAATAATAATAATAATATTGTGTGTAACTAATCATGATTCGATTTAAACTCTTAATTATTTTATTTAAATCTTCAAATCTATAAATTAAATCTTACTACACTTAGATTGTAACTCTCAAAGGCCTCAATAATATTTCAATTTTGATGCTTACAATTGAAATTTTAAAGTAATGCTAAATGTTAGTACATACATACTACGATTGTTGATTACATCATGCTATGCAAAACTATTTGACCTTTGTATGAGTCAAATATAATTTTACAAAATTCAACATTTTCAATACCATGCATGATTGTTGATTAGGAAAAGAGGTAGAAATGTAAGCAAAAATGATTGTATGTATTCCAAAGTGATTTGTTTCTAGCCCTTCACTATTTCATTCTGACCCTTCACCCTGTGACTTTTGCAACTTCATTCGAAAAAAATTTCTAGTAACAACTTTATGATTAATGAAATAATTTATTGTAAACATATGAGAGTACTTAGAAATTTGAACATGTGAAAATAATTATATATAACATTTTGTGATTTAATTTTAACTCTCGTTGTTTTTTTTTTTTTAAATTTAAACCCTCCAATATATAAGTTATATTTACAACAAGTGATTTGAATTTGTTCTTTAGAATAGACAAAGATTGTAAACTCTCGAAATTTTGGTTACCATTGAATATGAAATTGCACTGATGTTACATTGTTCCGAGTTCGATCCCTTGCAAATGCATAATTCGTCCCTTTTTCAAAACAAAAAAATTTACCGCCCTTCTATGAATCTTCTTTATTCTAACGTAAATGTAACGTAAGCAACAAATATAGTTTTCTCACAAATTCTAGATTTTATTAGGTAGTTTCTTACAAAAAGTCCTTATTGATACTATAAGCAAACTAGTATTTTCCATATATTTAATATGAGTAAACTAGTATTCGTAAATATGATAAAATCAAATAAAAAATAATAAAATTAACTTATTTAGTAACGCAATTCTTATTAATGAAATATATTGTAAACACATATGAGTATTTAACAATAATAAGTTGTAAATGATAATAATTGTGTATAACCCACAAATGTATGAATCAGATCATAATTTACAGCAATGTATTCATATTTCATCTTAGAATTGGAAAATCAATGTCTTTCATTATTATTTAAGACCTCTAATTCGTTCATTGTTATTGTTGTTTGGAAATTGGATTACTTGAGGCTTAAAATGTAGATGACTGAGAGGAGGACTAAGGTATATACTGTCTGCGCGTTATAATATATTTATGTATGTATAGAGGTAATCATATTGTAAATTTGTGTGTAACCTTTCATGAATTTATTTCAACTCTTAATTATTTGATTAAAAACCTTTAAAGAATGAATTAAACCCTCCAAAGTATGAATTAATCCGTACAACACTTGATATTGTATAATTGTATCTAACACCTATTTAATTTTATACGGTTACTTTATATGTAATAAAATTATAATTTGTACTTTGATATGTTTGAAATTTTTGTGGTACCAATAATGGACAAATTAGTAACACTTATTTATAAAATAACAAACTATAGTAAGATTAAAATTGTCCAACTTCATAATATTTTCGAAAATATATCAATATGGATGTCTATAGAAAGATCATTAGAAATTAATTTCATTGGTTTTTTTATTATATTTTTTTGATTTGTAGTTTGTAAAATATTGTCAAATGAAGTATTATTCGATTCTTATAATAAACATCTCTCTTCATTAATGACGCTGAATAGGATGTTATTTTCTCTAGTAACAAATTGTATTTTTTAGTAAAGTAAAATATTTGTTTAGTAATAAGGAAGATTATTTGGCGCCAATGAAATTTGTCCCGCCTTCTTGTGGTAAATGGCGCCAAAAGCCAAAAAAATTTCCCTCTCATATTTCTAGCTAATGAATTTTTAATTGATGTTGTATGTGTGGTCCGCATACAACAACTGTATGTGTTTCACCTCCCAGAAATAGTGCACCTTAAAATTTGCGTAATGAATGACCTCATGAAAAGTCATTACGTTATTCTGACCTCACTTATAAGATTAAGGCATTCGAGCAGAATTATTATTTCTAAAATTGTCTTTCATCGATTATATAGATCCATTATACATTTAGTAAACATGAATATACAAGCGATAATAACAAATCGAACGCTGTTGCATGAGAAACAGGTGTCAGTGTTTAGAAGCCCACGCATATCGTTTCTCATGCCACGTCCTTGCCTTCATACCTCCAATTTCCCATTTTCTCACCGAATTGACGCATTCATTAACTCCAACTTAACGGAAATTTAACACTATATATTCTATAAATCGAAAATACTATACTTTAATTTTAGTAACTAAGTATTTTAAATTTTGTAACACTACTCTTTCATCTTGATCAATTCAAAATTCTGTTGTGATTTATTCGTGCATCATGAATTCGAAGCATCTTTCGTCCACTGCTAATTCTGTCATCCATCAATGTTCTATGTACATTTTCTTTCTCCCTATCTATAATTTGATCTTGCATACACGTTGAATGCGTACTTGTGTGTTTTATTTATGATCCGAATATATTAGTTTGTGTCTCCGCTAATGCACGGGATATATATTTATATATTTGGAATTGAATCTCATTGTTGCGGTGTATTATTGTTTTTGTTATTTAGCTGAATTCAATTAATTGCGTGATTTGGTTGTTCATTTTGGTTCAGTTTATTGTTTCGTAATTCTCCATCTTTTTTTTTTTTTTTTTTGTTTATTTGTTTATTTACAAGAGATATGTTAATGGTAATTTTCATGTCATAATTAATTTTATGTAGTATCTAATAGTATATTACTCTCTCCAAACCTAATTTTTTTTTTTGGCCCCTTATTGTTATTTTTGGGTCAAACTTGTAAAACATTGACCACAAATATAAGAAATAATATATAATTAAGTGGAATCTTGTTAGACTCTCTCATCTCCAAATAAAGAATTGTGGATAAGTTTATGGTTTGTGTCCTTTCGGTACTCCTGATCTCCAAATAAAAGTCCTATTTACCTTTTTGGGCACGTGGAAGGTGAATAAAAGTATAATAAGATAAAGAACGGGTTTGGTTAATTAGAAGCGACGAAAGAAATACGAGGGGTTAAAGGTGAAATGAGAATTTTATTTAAAAATAAGGTATTTGGGTGAATGAAACTTTTATTTGGATATAGGAGTGTGTTTACCATGTAAATGATGTAATCATACTAAGTGAGCACTGAGGTAGTATGAACTGTTCTAAATGATGTTTTGAGTGAAATTGTGACATTTTTGACAACGAGATGTTTGGACTATGTGAATCTCCGGTTAGAGAGAATAATTAACAATTATGACACTTTTTTTTTTTTTTTTTTTTTTAATCTATTTGTACATGACATTTTACTATGAAGATCGTCCGCTTAAATTATGCTGCCCCCTAAAATGTAGGACTAGTACTTTATGTTATAATATTTCTAAACATGTAGAATGTGGAGGTATTATAATTGAAGAAGAATTGATATGTTAATTTATAAGATGGTACTCTATATGAATATAAATTGATAATTCTGGTAAGAGTGTAGTTTCCGAAGGAAGAACATAGAAAATTAGATAAACCATTCCTTCAATTTAAGCTACTCGAATTTGTTCATCATCTAATTTTGTTCACTGCTTGGTTTAAATTTGAAATAAAGTATTGTATGATGATCTTTTTTCTGGGTAGGAAATTACACACCTCTGTGGATGCATTGTTGGAAGAATATAAGGGAGTATGGAAGCCAGAGATGGGCGAATATTCACGAAAATTAGTGGAGTTTTGCTGCTCAAAGGCTGTAAGACAGGGGCCAGCTTGTGGCGAAGATGACTATATTAGTGATAGTTCCTTTAGCCGCTTCACATTTGACATGATGCTAGCATGGCAGATGCCAAGCTCTGCTGATGAAGAATCTTACAGGGTACATTTTTGTGCACCCTAATATGTACTCTTTCCATCCGTACTTAATAATCATATAGGATATCTGCGGAGAATGTAGACAAAATGAAATAAATATGTTAGTCATTTCCTGATTAATTTGATCGATAATATAAGAGAGCTTTAGTCATCTCCTGATAAATTTGATATAAAGTTATGTGTATAATATAAGAGACCTCTTAAGTTTACCCGTCAAGTATGGTAAGGTAGATGCAAGCGATTTATATTTGATATTTTTGGAGATTGATTTGATCCTCAGTCTCAGTTTTGTTGTGCTTAAAGTGTCCTTATGCTGTCCAAGTTCAGCAATACAACATCGAGGGTATGACATTCAATAGGATAGTCTGAATACATGTCCCAACGACAGTATAGTAGCCTTAATGGATTATTTTATTCATGGAATATTGTTGCTTGCAATTTCCTGTTGATTCGAGTACAGGTTCAATAGTCGTAATGATATACTGCAAGGGCACTGTATGAATTTTGATATATTTTGTAAGTCTCTCATTGAATATTTAGTTCCCTGCTTTTGTATTGATTTACAGGAATCTTTAGGTAAAGAGAAAGAAGAGAAGAAATCCCTTGTAGCGACTCAACCACACGAAGATGTGTCATTGTTCTATTCTGACATCATGCCACTGCTCGTAAGATCTTCACATTTATTACAATTCTGTCACATTTCCATTATCTGTAGATACAATTGTGGGAACCAGAAATATTTCAAATATTTAGCATTTGTTGTTTTCAGTCCATTGACAGCAATTTGAATTATGACATTGCATTGGTAGGTTGATCATGGACAAGGTGTTAAGGAAGATGCTTTTGTATGGTTTGCAACAATGCTCCCTTTGCCTGGAGATGTAATCAATGGCAGATTCATCTTTGAAACGCTTACGGCATCTACAGCAAACATTCTCCATTATCCAGCCTACGATAGATTTCTCACAGAAATTGCCAAGTGAGATGACTTTTTTATTCACATGTATTAGTTTGCTTTGCAATTTATTGGATATTACCTCCATATAGACAGAATGGCATCATAACTATTCCAAATCTTTAGAAGTGCTTTATAAAATTAGTATTGATGTATTATATGTAGCCACCTATAACATCTTCCCTCATCTCCCTAAATATGTTAACAATCTAACTTTCCACTTAAGCTATCACGGCTTCATGAGTCTTGGACTTTCACGGGTTTAAATATTCTAAAGATTTCACCTGGCACGAAGATTATTTTTTTGGACAGAAGATAGTTAAAGAATTTTAATGTATCATCATTCTTTTTCTTGTAACTGTCTGAATGTGATACAGCTCATAAATTTGTTCATGTAGTAAGGCATTAGGTTACTTTCACCGAGAATACAGAAATAGGCTTTTTTTTTAGTTTCAATTTTGTTGGAGTCATTTCAGGTGTATAAGGCATTTGCAAAAGGAAAAAACACCAAAAGGGTGTCAAACTCGCTGATGATGAATATATATTGCATGTTGAGGGAACGGCAAGTAGTCAACGGGTAGTCCGTCATATTGGAGGAACAAGCTGGCCAGGTTGGTTAAGCCATTGTATTTTAGTTTTTTTTTTTTTTTTATAGTTTCTAAGAATCATTCTACATTGAACTCTGGAAAATTTTCACTTCTGCTGCTGTTCTATCTAGGTAGACTGACACTCACCAACTATGCTCTCTACTTTGAGGCCATGGGATCTATAAATCATGAAGATTCAATAAAAATGGATCTCTCTAGGAATATCGAGCAGAGTGTGAAACCAGCTGCTACAGGTCCATGGGGCGCTCCACTTTTTGATAAAGCCATGCTTTATGAATCCTCAGAACTGTAAGACTTTGATCAGCTAGTTAGAAGTAACCTTATTATGCTTTCTGTTTCATTTTTGGGTCTGAAATTATTGTTTAATTCGTGAATTAAAATGAATGAAATTTTGTACATTGGACGGCATCAAATCACTTAAGGGTGGAGATGAGAATCGATCCCAAGATCCCCTGGAATCGGGAGGGAGCTCTAACCACTTGAGCTATCCCTCACTCTCATTAAGGATTTCTAAATGAGCTAATATGAATCGTCTTCTGCTTACAGTCAGCAACTTCTATGAAACAGTACAGGCTTTACACAGTTTAAGTTTCCTGGCATACATTAAGATTTATGATACCATTTTGAGTAATTCAAACGACAAGTATTTAAAAAGCCTTATCATCCCTATCAAATCAAGAGTGGTAGTCCCTTGCGATGTTATGCAGGGTCATGAATTAGATTCCACAACTTGTTGGTATAGGGGGCTTGAGAATGTTTTTGATAGTGAATTTTCAGAAAGAATTAGATAGTGTACTGAAAAGCACTGGTTTCTATTAAACCATCATAGCCAAACTTTCGAAATTGATGGATTTGCGTATTTTCTTGTAGGACTGAAGGTATACTGCTAGAATTCCCGGAATTAACCAGTTCTACAAGACGAAATCATTGGTTGGTCTTAACGAAGGAAATTATTCTTTTACATCAGTTTTTATCTAAAAAGGAATCGCTGTCTGCAAACCAAGTATGGGAAATGCATGCAAGGACAATTTTAGGCTTTACAAGACTTCATGCTGCAAGAGAAATGCTTAGAATGGCACCTCCATTACCACAAACATTTTTGATCTTTACTTTATTTGATGAGCTGCCTAAAGGAGATTTTATCATAGAAGAACTTGCAGAAACTTTAAAGCTGATTGAAACGGAAGAACCCTGCAGTGCAAGTTCAATCCTGAAGAATCTGAATATGTCGCACAAGTTTGCACCTGAAATGGAGTCGAAGGAATCAGATGTGGTTGAAAAAGTCACTTTAAAAAGTGCCCAAGAAGATAGTTTTACAACATTGGATGAAGCTGTTACAGAGGTGAAGGAACAAGCAAAGGAAATCGAGTCAGCAAAAGCTACTACTGAAAGCTTAAAAGAAGAAGGGGTTGTTGACAGTGCTCTTGTACTTTTGGTAAGTGTGTAACCAGACTATATTAGGACTTTAATGAAAAAATAGTCTCATTTGTTTAATATTGTTTTTCCTTGGCCTTTCGTCATTCTAAATTCCATATATACTTTCTTTTCTGATTTCACTAGCTAGTAATAGTGTACACGTAAGACTAGTAAGAGTGCCCTGACTTCTTACTTTAAATCGCTACAGACTTCATGGCGCTTTTGTAGATTACACTTGTTCCTTAATATAGTGACCAGATTACTGTTTCTTTTGGAGTCCTCAAGCCCTATACCATTTTTAAGAGGATTTAGTTCAGTTCTATAATTTGATGTTGGTCAGGATGAGATGTCAGGTTCTGTTTCAGAATGGCATCCGTTGTGCCAGCCTATCATGCCTTGATACAGTGAAGAATGAAAACACGCCCATAGAGAAAAGAAAGAAAGAGAAAATCTGAAGGCCCATTCGTAGGCGGTAATAAATTGCTGTAATGCTTATGACTTGAAGTTCGACTTTACTTACAAAATTACATAAAAACTCACACTGCCTATCATGCTGTCCATGATATAGTTGGGCTGTATCCTACTTTAGTCATATCATCCTATGTATTAGTTTGTAATTGGGAATTTGGGATCATAGATAAAGCAGTGATTTTTAACCATCGTAATCATTTGTAGGAGCTCTTGAAACCACTAAAAAGCAGTTGGATTTGGCTTCAAGAAGTATTGGCATGGGAGAGGCCGGGTGCAACCATCAATTTGATCACTGCTATTCTCTTCATAGCCTACAGGTAATTTTTCGGTATAATGATCAATTTGTAGTTGCATTTTTTAGTGCAGCAGGTTTGTTTTATCAGCAGTTTAATTGTAGGGAGTGGATTGGAAAGGCATTGGCTACCATCTTATTTTGGGCAGCCTATGAAATGCTACGAGCAAGGCAGCAGAGGATTGGAGAAAAGTATAATAAGGTGGTGGTGTGTACTGCTTCAGACCAGACAACAATGGAGAGCATTATATCCGCACAGCAAGGACTTAGAACTGCCCATGACTTGGTGCAGCAGGTCAACATTGCAATACTTAAGATCTACTCTATATTGGTTTCTAGGGCCCCCAAGGTACTTGATTCACTTGTTCTTGCCTCTCCTTTACATAAGTTACGAGAATAAATCAATTCAAAGTCTTTTAAGTGTTATGTTACAATGTTTGTTAGGAAATAAATCGAGTTGAATCTCAATATTTCCTGGTTTTCTTTTTTGATTATTAACACTTAATTTATTCTTCTTTTCACCACAATTTTGGTGTACTAGTATAATTGCATAATATGGGGTTGTCTTTCGGCAGTGACAATAGGACTTTATGATATTTCTATATTTAGATAAAAGTAAGGCTTGGCCAACAGAACATGTTTGCCTTAAATAAAACTCAAAATTATTGCGGGTTTTATGCAGCAAGCAAACATGGTGATGATGATGATGGTTGGAATAGCAGTGATTGTAGCTCTTATTCCCTTCAAGTATATGATTATGGCTTCCACCTTGTATCTATTTGCAACGAACTCAAAATATTACAAGAATCTCATGAAAAACGACTCAGGAAATCGGCGATTGAAGGAATGGTGGGACTCCATTCCCGTTATTCCTGTGGAAACCGTGGACGAACTGCCAGAGAACAGATGATTGGCTTGTGAACTGCAGTCAATGTTTTATGTAATTATATGACCTTAATGGGTTTTACAGCACACTTGGTAGTTAATAAACACTTGGCTAACAGTGTTTTGCGTGGAGCTTATCAGCTGCACCTAGCAATACACTCTTTGGGTGATAGGATTAATTTTTAATAAGGTATATACTTTCCTTTATAAGCTTTTGTTTCGTTTACATTCTTTTGTTTTAGGGGTAAGAGGTGTACAGAACACATAGCAAATGACTTCTGAGAGTTCTGAAGGTATAAAGTTTCATGATTCTGCATAATTATATGCCTTTTTTTATAACTAATATCCTAATAGTAGTGGCGGATCCAGTTGGTTTAACTGAACTCATACTAGATGCAGAATAATTCTAATAAATTTTATTTAAAAAAAAAAAATACACATCACTACGCGCATAGTTAAAGAACTTTTTCTTGCACTCCAGTAGTAGTTGCTTTGTATTATTTAACTGGTCCTGGGTTCAAAATCCCCAGGACGTTGAAGCCTAAAATATTACAGAGTTACACACCTAGGAAAATAGGATAAGAAAGCTTCTAGGCATATGAAGACCCTAAACGATAAAAGTGCAAGAGGGTTAGCTTGCCCTTAAGTTTCTATATTTCTTCTATCACACTTTGCTCATTTTTTTTTATCCTGTGATTTTTCATATTTACTCCTGTTTATATAAGCTGCAATTTGAATAGGAAAGACTAGCTCAATTATATTGATGTAAAATGTGATCCTCCACACATGTTGATAGAACTGTAATTTTCATAATGTTGGTAATCAGACTTGCAAAAATATGAAGATTGGCCTCAAAAACCAAAGTGTCAATCTGAGAACATCAACTTATCACAAAAGGAGTATTATCTTATGTAGCCTATGTTGTGAGCTACGCAAATATGTACTCTAGTAATTAAGAGTCAACACCAATTAAAGTTAAGAGGTTTGTCAACAAGATTTGTGAGCAATAATTTCTACTCATTAAAACTAGATTTGCATTATTAGGGTTTGATGAGTGCACAACGGAAGTAAAGATGTATTTGATTGAAAAGTATAAATTGAATTGATAATTGGCAACATAATTAATATAAATGAACACACGATTTTATGTAACAACGAGCACTTTTATTCCACTATTTAAAAGTAGGAGAGTACAAGAACCCCTTGAGGGTGATTATTACAAGAGAACTCTCACTATAAGAAACTCACAAGGAATATTATGATATTTTTGTAGAAAGGCTTGTGTTTGGTATGGCTTCTTGTGTTGTGTTTTGTTTTGTGTTGTTGTGTGATTGAATACCCTTGACCTATATTTAT